AGGGAATGGCTGAGGGAGGAGGAAGTTCCAGGTGGGGGTAGCTGGGGGGTAGGTATCTCTGGGAGGGAATAGCTGAGGGAGGAGGAAGTTCAGGGTGGGGGTGGATGGGGGGGGGAGGAGGAGGCTCAGGGTGGGGGTAGCTGGGGGGTAGGTATCTCTGGGAGGGAATAGCTGAGGGAGGAGGAAGTTCAGGGTGGGGGTAGCTGGGGGGTAGGTATCTCTGGGAGGGAATAGCTGAGGGAGGAGGAAGTTCAGGGTGGGGGTAGCTGAGGGGTAGGTATCTCCAGGGGGGAATAGCTGAGGGAGGAGGAAGTTCGAGTGGGGGTAGCTGGGGGGTAGGTATCTCTGGGAGGGAATAGCTGAGGGAGGAGAAAGTTTGGGTGGGGGGTGCTGGGGGGTAGGTATCTCTGGGGAGGAATAGCTGAGGGGTAGCTGGGGGGTAGGTATCTCCGGGGGGGAATAGCTGAGGGGGGGAAGTTCGAGTGGGGGTAGCTGGGGGGTAGGTATCTCCGGGGGGGAATAGCTGAGGGGGGGAAGTTCGAGTGGGGGTAGCTGGGGGGTAGGTATCTCCGGGGGGGAATAGCTGAGGGGGGGAAGTTCGAGTGGGGGTAGCTGGGGGGTAGGTATCTCCGGGGGGGAATAGCTGAGGGGGGGAAGTTCGAGTGGGGGTAGCTGGGGGGTAGGTATCTCCGGGGGGGAATAGCTGAGGGGGGGAAGTTCGAGTGGGGGTAGCTGGGGGGTAGGTATCTCCGGGGGGGAATAGCTGAGGGGGGGAAGTTCGAGTGGGGGTAGCTGGGGGGTAGGTATCTCCGGGGGGGAATAGCTGAGGGGGGGAAGTTCGAGTGGGGGTAGCTGGGGGGTAGGTATCTCCGGGGGGGAATAGCTGAGGGGGGGAAGTTCGAGTGGGGGTAGCTGGGGGGTAGGTATCTCCGGGGGGGAATAGCTGAGGGGGGGAAGTTCGAGTGGGGGTAGCTGGGGGGTAGGTATCTCCGGGGGGGAATAGCTGAGGGGGGGAAGTTCGAGTGGGGGTAGCTGGGGGGGTACATAGCTCCGGGTGATACCTGTACAAACGACACTGGCGTCCTCGTTGTGCTGGCAGTTGCTGCGCCCCCAGGGCCGTGCCCGGCAGTGCCGCAGAGACACCTCCTTCCCGCTGCAGCCCACGTCGTCCAGCCAGATGGGGCCAGTGCCTGTCCCAAAATGCGCCCCCCCGGGGGAGGCCTGCACCGCACCGCAGCCCAGCTCCCGGCACACCACGGCGCCCTCCGGCCCCCCCCAGCCGTCATCACACACTGAGCCCCACTGGCCCCTGTGCAGCACCTCCAGGCCCCCCCCGCAGTTGTGGGGCCCCCCAACCAGCCGCAGGGGGGCGCCACCTGCGGGGCAGATAGTAGGTCACCAGGGGATGGGGATCACAGAGCGGATCCACAGCCCAGACCAGAATGGCAGGCCACCTGTACGGGGAGGAGCACCGCAGGCCAGGCTGGGGGGGGGTGTCTTTGCATGGGAAGGGAGCCCACTGTCCAGGCTGATGGGTGGGGACGGGTCTCTGACAGGCTCATGGCCGCCAGGGCGGACACAAGGGGATGCTTGCAGCTCCTGAGGCCAGAAGAGACCTTGGTGGTCATGTTGCTGACGACCTGCCAAGAGCTGCCCCCAAATAATTCCGTGAGCAGAGCATTTACAACAACCGGGTCCAAAATCGTGGAAGGGAGCCCACTGTCCAGGCTGATGGGTGGGGACGGGTCTCTGACAGGCTCATGGCCGCCAGGGCGGACACAAGGGGATGCTTGCAGCTCCTGAGGCCAGAAGAGACCTTGGTGGTCATGTTGCTGACGACCTGCCAAGAGCTGCCCCCAAATAATTCCGTGAGCAGAGCATTTACAACAACCGGGTCCAAAATCGTCCACATTGGAGAGCCCCCCACAACCTTCGGTAAATTGTTCCAGCACTTCCCTGCCACAAAGGAACGTCTGAGTTCCCGACTCAACTCGTCCAGCTTCAGCATCCAGCCTTTGGAGGGCATCTGACCGCAGCATTGAACCTTCGTTCCCAGGCAGCTACCTACAGCCTGCGACCGTCTCCTTGCTCAGCCACCTAGACCCAGCTCCCTGAGTCTGCCACGCCGAGGCTGGTTTTCTACCCCCTTCACCGTCTTCTCTGACCCCCCTGCAATTCATCACCCTCCTTCTGGAATTGCAGGCATAGGAGGGCTCAGGGCAGCTGCCCCAGGCTCCGCAGGGCTCAGGGAGGGCAGGAGTTACCGGGGGCCTGTGCCGGCAGCCAGTGCCAGGCCTGCCCCCACACCAGCGGTGGCAGGAGCCGTGGGAAGCAGAGCGACCCAGCCCCAGCCTGCACTGCTCCACCATATCCCAGCCAGGTCGCTGCAGGCTGGGGCCTGGCTCCTCTGCTTCCCATTGCCACCCCTTGTAATCCCAGGTCGCACTGCTTGGGGCAGGAGGTGGAACAAAGGTGGAGCAGGGGCAGAAGCTGGACTTGGAGGAAAGGGCAGAGTGGGGGAAGCATGGGGCAGTTTCAGAGTCCCTGCTCCCGGAGAGAGGCCCCCTGGGAGTGCAGCCGCACTGTTCCTCCCCAGAGCAATACTTTTGCATCCAGCCACTAAAGTTGTTGCTTGCTCCCAATGTGCCAAGTGAGCCGTACCACCCTGTTGCAGTCTCCTGTCCCCCAGGGTGGCAGGATGCCTCCCAGGGCAGGAAGGCAAGCTCAGTGGTATTTTCAGCACATCAAGTGACAGTCTTAATGGGATCTCTGTAATCAAACCCATCATACCTCCAAAAATATATCCAGTTAATTTGACAGGAACTATTTTCCATAAACCCATGTTGATTTGCAATAATTACATTATCCTCTTTATATTCCTTATTAATCAAGTCTCATATCAATTTCTCCACTATTTTGCCCAGGAATAATGTCAGGAAGACAGGCCTATAACTACCTGGGTCATCCTGTTTACCCAACTACCCCAGTCCTCCACAAATGAAAATCAAAAGTAAAGATCCAGCAAGCTCCTCGGGAAGCTCTTTCAAAACTCGTTGATGCAATTCATCTAGACCTGCCAACTTAAACATTTCTGACTTTTGTAGCTTCTCTTCTTATCCTCCTGATATATTAGTGGAATAAGAAGAGTGTTATTATCACCATACGAGCATCATTTGTTTTCTATTTCCATCCAGTAATGGGCCAATACCATGGTCAGGATTCTTTTTGCTTGTTCTACACTTTTTAAAAAAAATCTTCCCTTATCAATTTTCTACAGTTCCTAGCTTCTGAGTGGGCTGTGCCCACAAAAGCTCATGGTACCATCTACATGTTTTGTTAGTCTTTAAGGTGCTACTAGACTATTTGTTGGTTTTTAAGTTTTTCCTGTTATAGACTAACTTGGCTACCCCTCTGGAGCTTCTGATATATAGTCATTATTGCCAACTTCCCTTTTCTTCCATTTGTTGCATATCATTGTTTTTATTTTTATCATGCTTTCACTTTTCCTTTAAGTCTGGTTGGATTTTTAAATCAGCAAGGCCTTCTTCCTCAGTTGTAGGACTGTGGCTTTTGTGGCGTCCAATTCTCAGCCTATTCCCAATACACACTTTTTTCTTATTAAATTTCTGATTATCCCTCTGTTCTGTTCACTTCCTCCGGGGACTTGGCATTGGCCTTTGACAGAAAACAGAATACTGGGCTAGACAGACCCTTGGTCTGTCCCAGTATGGCCCTTCTTATGTTAACTAGCCAATTAGCCCGTTATAAGAGGGGATTTTCAGGTCTCTCCTTCACGTCGGTCTTCTCTCCTGAGCCTCCGGTCTCTCACTCCGTGTCTCTCCCTCTCTCTGTCTCTCCTCCTCCTACTGCCTCCCCCCGCTCTCTCTGGGTATGTCTACACTGCCACCCTAGTTCGAACTAGGGTGGCTAATATAGGCATTTGAAGTTGCAAATGAAGCCCGGGATTTAAATATCCCGGGCTTCATTTGCATCTTGCCCCCCCGCCATTTTTAAATCCCCGTTAGTGCAGACTCCGTGCCCGCGGCTACACGCAGCACAGAGTAGGTAGTTCGAATTAGGCTCTCTAATCCGAACTACCGTTATTCCTCGAGCCCTCCTATGCCCGCAATTCCAGAAGGAGGGTGATGAATTGCAAGGGGGTCAGAGAAGATGTCCTCGTGGAACGAGGTGTACTGGTAGTTCGAATTAGAGAGCCTAATTCGAACTACCTACTCCGTGCCGCGTGTAGCCGCGGGCACAGAGTCCGCACTAACGGGGATTTAAAAATGGCGGTGCCCGGCAAGATGCAAATGAAGCCCAGGATATTTAAATCCCGGGCTTCATTTGCAACTTCAAATGCCTACATTAGCCAGCCTAGTTCGAATTAGGGTGGCAGTGTAGACATACCCTCTCAGCTCTCCTCCGCCTCCTGCCTCTTTCTAGGTACGTCTACACTAGCTCATTAGTTCGAGCTAGGTAGGGTAATTAGGGCAAGTGGAGTTGCAAATGAAGCCCGGGATTTAAATATCCCGGGCTTCATTTGCATGTTCCCGGGCGCTGCCATTTTTAAATCCCCCTTAGTCCGAACTCTGTGCCCGCGGCTATATGCGGCACAGAGTAGGTAGTTCAAATTAAAGATCCTAATTCGAACTACTGTTACTCCTCATTCCACGTACCCTCTCTGTCTCGCTCTTTCTCTTCTCCCCCTCCTGCCTCCCACGCAGGGGACCGCGGAGCCCTAACGGCCGTTTGGGCACCACGCTCCCTGTGCTGCATGGGGCGCGCAGAGCCCAAACGGTCACTTGCGCCTCTTTCTCCCACGCGGTGGCCCGGCTGAGCGCCGCAGAAGTCAGCTGAGCCCACTGCGGGAGGCAAAGGGGGGCAGGGCAGTGATGTTCATAGCCAGGGGGCAGGGCCCAGTGCCTCTGTCACACCATTTGGGCTCCCCCGCAGCGGCTGTTTCGGCTCCCCTGTGTCAGCCAAGTGCCACGGCAGGAGGCGAAGGGGGGTGCAAAGGGGGGCAGGGCGGTGACATCCACAGGCAGGCCCCACCCCCTGGCCGTGTACGTCACCGCCCCCCTTTCCTCCCACTGTGGCACTCGGCTGACTCCTGCACCGCTCAGCCACCCCTGTGATGCATGGGGACCACAGCGCCCAGATGGCTGCTTGCTCCCCCGCGGCGGCCTGGCTGAGCGGCGCAGAAGTCAGTCGAGTGCTACGGCGGGAGGCAAAGGACGTGACTCAGGCAACAGCGCCGCCCAGAGGGAACAGCCAGGGAGACAACAGCGCCACTCAGAGGGAACAGCCAGGGAGGCAACAGTGCCACTCAGAGGGAACAGCCAGGGAGGCAACAGTGCCACTCAGAGGGAACAGCCAGGGAGGCAACAGTGCCACTCAGAGGGAACAGCCAGGGAGGCAACAGTGCCACTCAGAGGGAACAGCCAGGGAGGCAACAGTGCCACTCAGAGGGAACAGCCAGGGAGGCAACAGTGCCACTCAGAGGGAACAGCCAGGGAGGCAACAGTGCCACTCAGAGGGAACAGCCAGGGAGGCAACAGTGCCACTCAGAGGGAACAGCCAGGGAGGCAACAGTGCCACTCAGAGGGAACAGCCAGGGAGGCAACAGTGCCACTCAGAGGGAACAGCCAGGGAGGCAACAGTGCCACTCAGAGGGAACAGCCAGGGAGGCAACAGTGCCACTCAGAGGGAACAGCCAGGGAGGCAACAGTGCCGCCCAGAGGGAACAGCCAGCATTTCAGCATTACAGAGTCACAGACATTGGGCTACTATTTTATGTTAATTCTTCCTCCCAGAGAATTTTGTTCATAATTTTGTTTTCAACTTTGTCAAACTGCCCCTTCTCAAGCACCAAGAATGCAGACTGGAGTTTCTCCTTTTTGCATATTACAAATGTCATCAAATCATGCTCACTTGTGAGGAAGCAGGAATTTTGGGTAATATTTTATTACGCCTATGTGTGCCTCAGTTTCTCTCTGCAGATTGCATTGCTGCCCAGAGGGGTAGCACTAGATATATGTGGGGAGGGGTGCAGGTGTACGTTATCGTGCTGTGTTATCTCGCTGTTTGGATGGATCAAATGGCCCTGAAGAAAGTGTTTGAAACAGACCCAGAGCTTGTCTACACGGACCAGTTACTGGGCTGAAACTCACTCGGGGGAGTGAAAAATCAGCAGCACCTGGGAGCTGCGCCCCTTGTGGAGGTGGTTTTCCGCATGTGCTCTGCGTGTTTTCCCCCAGCACTGGTGTCACTCACAACCATACTGTCCTGTTGAAACTCTGCTGCGGCAGTGCTTTAACACTGCCAGTCTAGACAGAGCCCAGACCCACAAGCCGGCCAGAGGATCAATGGAAGCTCCAGGAGGGAACAATGGACACTCCACCAAATGACCCCAGCAGGCGTGGCTGTGAACCTGCCTGGAAACAGAGGCCTGGGACGGGGATACGGGTGGGCTCTGGCAGAAACCTCCATGTTCTTACCTAGAACCATGGAACCATAGAATCCTAGAACCATAGAGTTAGAAGAGACCTCAGAAGGTCATCAAGTCCAGCCCCCTGCTCTAGGCAGGACCAATCCCAACTCAATCAACCCGGCCAGGGCTTTGTCAAGCCGAGCCTTAAACACCTCTAGGGATGGAGACTCCACTACTTCCCTAGGGAACCCATCCCAGTGCTTCTCCACCCTCCTAGGGAAACAGTTTTTCCTAATAGCCAACCTGGACCTCCCCCACCACAACTTGAGACCATTGCTCCTTGTTCTGCATCTGTCACTACTGAGAACAGCCTCTCTCCTTCCTCTTTGGAACCTCCCTTCAGGAAGTTGCAGGCTGCTTTCTAATCCCCCCCTCACTCTTCGCTTCTGCAGACTAAACAGACCCAAGTCCCTCAGCCTCTCCTCATAAGTCATATGCTCCAGCTCCCTAATCATTTTGTTTGCCCTGCTCTGGACCCTCTCCAATGCGTCCACATCCTTTCTGTAGTGGGGGGCCCAGAACTGGACACAATAGTCCAGATGTGGCCTCATCAGAGCCGAATAAAGGGGAATAATGACATCTCTGGATCTGCTGGCAATGCTCCTCTGAATGCAACCTAATATGCCATTAGCCTTCTTGGCTACAAGGACACACTGTTGACTCATATCCAGCTTCTCATCCACTGTAACCCCCAGGTCCTTTTCTGCAGAAACCCCTGGCAAGTGACTAAGGAACAGAGCCTGAAGATAGGCTCGGGGACGACCAGAATTGGCTCTGCTGGAACCTTCCTCTCTCTGTGCTGCCCTCTGGACTCCTTGCCCATGTGCCAGGGCCGAGCAAGCCCACCGGCTTTGGAAGCATGGTTTGAGCGTCTCCGCCCATCCGTGCTGAGGTGCATTAATCCTGGCAGTGCTCACAAGGCTCTCCCAGGAGTCTGGCTGAGTTTCCCTGGCAGGAAAGTGCTTGTGGGGCAAAGGAAGCAGGCTGGAGCCCAAAGACAGGGCCATCCCAATGGGACTCTATCCAGTACTATTAAACTGGTGCCCCATAACCAATGGCAGCTGGGGGGGGGTGGACTTTTTAGAGCTGTGATTTAATAATCTTCAGCTACACGCTAAAGAAATATCAGAGGGGGAGCCGTGTTAGTCTGAATCTGCAAAAGCGACAAGGAGTCCTGTGGCACCTTATAGACTAACTGAAGTGTAGGAGCATAAGCAAGACATCTGACGAAGTGGGTCTTTGCTAGTGAAATAGTTTTTGAAGTACATTTTAACTAAGGTCCTCTTGACTCGCACGATAAATTCAAAAACTGGCAGTGTATGCCTGGGGTTGGCAAATGCCTGTTATGGCTCTTTCACAGGTTCAGTGTCTGCTACGAGCTCTGCCAGGCTTTGCCACTAGTAAGTGAACTACCTCCTCTCCAGAGGAAGCAGAGCCAGAGAGCAGGGATGGGAAGAGCCGAGTGAGGGGACACTAAGACCAGTGGTCCCCAACATTTGGGGTGCCCTATGCAGCTGCGTATTTCTGTGTATGGACAGCTCTGCCCAGAGAGCTGTTTTGGGGTCTGTGAGACCCCCTGGCCTGCCCTGGCAGAAAGTGAGACCCCTTGCGGGGTCTGGCACATTGCAGGGATTCCTCCAAGAGCCTGTTTAAACACTGGGATGGAGCATCAATCCTGGGGCTCTGTGAGACTCGAACCTAAGCTGTGAGTGCAGCCTGTTTCGCAAGGCCCACAGCCTTTTTCTGCAGACACAGGAGAGCAACAGCCCTGAGCCAAGGAGCAGAAAGTCACATCCTCCCTTTCCACCTAGATTTTATCAAAGCAAAGTAATATGGGGCTGTTGAAGAGGCACTCCTCTCCTAACAGCACCCACCATCAAGGAAAGCAGTGATACGCGCCCTTGCCAGACAGAACGCTGTCGGTCGTCGGGGGGGTGAAGTCTCCACTTCTTTATGATTTTGTGTGATAAGCGCCCTTGCCAGACAGAATGCTGTCAGTCGTTGGGGGGGGTGAAGTCTCCACTTCTTTATGATTTTGCCCTTAAGGTCCCCACCTCACTTCTGTATTGTTTACCTATCTGGGCTCTGTGTGTTGCATAACTCATTTTGCAAGATTTAAACCAGCGAAGGGGGGGGAGGGAGTATGCGTACTTAAAGAATTATTTCGTATTGGGCTAGGACTGAGGAAAAACACTGTGTTGTGGTTCTTTAGTCTAAACTGATTGGTTACGGTACAGCTAAGCAGGACTGGATTTCACTAGATAAACTGGGGTCCAAAAGGAAGTTTTTAGGACTGGAACCTAAGTCCAGGAAACGGCCTCTGATCAGAGCTGCCAGACCTCCACACCCTGCAGGAAGCCAGAGCCCCACATGACCTGGTCCTGGGCAGCCAGCAGGATATTTCATCTGCCCTGTTGGGAGCAGCTGGGGAGCGCTGTATGCTCAGCATCTGCATTCTCTTTGGGTGGCTGCTAATGCGCAGAGACCTGGGTATGACTGTGTCAGGTTCTTCACTGGCGAAAAGGCCTCTGAGCCCCCAGATTCCTCCCTGAGCCCTAGAAATGGGGGATGGGTGGCTCTGGGCCCTAGGACCTGGGTGAGGGTAAGTGCCTTTTGCCCGGAGCCCTAGGAACTGGGAAAGGGTGATGGTACTGAAATTTGCCTTGAGCCCATGGCAGGGTAAAGGTGGGGTGCCCTAGAGCGGGTAACAGCCATAGCTGTGCTCAAATGTAAAACCCCCACACACCGGCTGTGGCGCTCTTTGCGTGAGGAAATTGTCACGGTGTTCTGAAGTTCAGAGGATGTTTTGATCCTGCAGCATGAGCCCTCCAGGGGAGGTCGCTCCAAGTGGAAGCTTTTCTCAAAACTCTGCTCTGGGAATGACTTGGGCGCGTTCTCAAGCCTGAGTTATGGGGGGGATGTCAGATCAGATGGTCCCAGCGGCCCCTTCTGGCCTTGGAACTGAAGTCCAAGCTACTGATCAGTGACTCCGAAACAAGCAGTGCCGCTCTCGGGATGGGGTTTGCCCACGCGATGCTTGCTCCACAGGCCCTACCCTTGATTTTAACGTTCCAGCGCTCATCCCACCAGGGGCCAGTCGCATCCGCTAGCTCCACTCGAGGCCCATGAACAAGCAATTCCACTTCCCCTGGGATGAAGCCCAGGAAGTCAGGGGCCTGGAGTGGAGGGGGGCATGTGCTAGGAGCGGAGGGGCCGGGGGGACTGGTGTGTCTCGTACTCACTGTGCGCTGGCGTGGTGGGAGCCCGGGCTGTGCTCTGTGCTGGGGGTCGGGGGTCCCTGAGCTGCACCGAGGGCTCGGTGGTGATGAAGGGCAGGAAGCGGTGAGCTGTGGGCGCGGCAGGGTCAGACGGGCACAGAGACATGGCCACATGCAGAGTGTGGTCCCTGGGCCCCAGAAGGGTCAGTGCCAGCCACACTGGGCACAGCCATGGGACGGGCCCTCTCACCTGTACATCCAGAGCCCCAGTGTAGTGCAGTGGTTCTCACCCTAATTAACATTGAAGCACCGTGTGCTACCTGGCCGCAGGCTGAAAACCGCAGTGCGCCCCCCAGCCCTTCCACCAACCCCTATGCCCAGCGCCACCTGCCCAGAGACCCCTCCACAGAGTAGGGCCTGGAATGGGGACCTGGGCAGGGCCCAGACCCCTTTATGTTAGGCCGGGTGGCAGGCCCAACCCTGGACTTGTCTGTCAGCTGGCTGGGAACCCTGATCCCAACCCCAGCAGGTCCACCGCCAGCACCAGTCCCTCACTCTCATTGTGCAGGGCCAGGTGAGGGCCCGGGGCCCCTGCTGTGCAGAGCCGGGCAGCGCCCCCAGACTCCCACAGGGACAACCCCACCCTGGACCCTGCCGCACAGGCAGCCAGGAATCCAGACCTCTCTGCGCAGGCTGGCACCTTTTAGCGCACACTCAGGCCACAGCTGGGTGCTAACTGGGCCACATGAGGCCTGCGAACCGCTGCTGCAGTGACACACAGGGACCCACTATGGCCATGTCCTCCAATCCGGCCCCAGGGGGTGGGGAATGGGGCCCGGCTCCCCTTGGCCCAGTGCTGGGTGGGGAGAACCCAGTGGGCACATCACGCATTCCGACTGGCCCTACCTGAGCACACGGCGCTGGCGTCCTCCTCGTGGGTGCAGACGTGCTGGCTCCAGCCCCGGTGGCGGCAGTGGCGCAGGTGTTGCTCGGAGCCCTGGCATCGCATCTCATTGAGCCAGATGGGGCCGGTGCCCTCCCCGAACCAGGCGCCCACGGGGGCAGAGAGCGCAGTGCCACAGCCCAGCTGGCGGCACACAACGGCTGCGTCGGCCAGATCCCACTCGTCGTCACACACCGAGCCCCAGCGGCCCTTGTGGCTGATCTCCACACGCCCCACGCACGCACTGGGGCCCCCGGACAGACGCACCTGGAACGGGCCTGCAGGCACGGCACGGCCTGTCACACCCTGAACCGTCAGTCCCCGTGAACCTCCACCCATTGCGATCCCCTCCGTCAACCTCCACCCACTACAATCCCCCCCGTCAGCCTACACCCCACTGTGACACTCCCCCCGGCAGCCTACAACCCACTGCGATCCCCCCCGTCAGCCTCCACCCCACTGCGACCCCCCCGTCAGCCTCCACCCCACTGCGACCCCCCCGTCAGCCTCCACCCCACTGCGACCCCCCCGTCAGCCTCCACCCCACTGCGACCCCCCCGTCAGCCTCCACCCCACTGCGACCCCCCCGTCAGCCTCCACCCCACTGCGACCCCCCCGTCAGCCTCCACCCCACTGCGACCCCCCCGTCAGCCTCCACCCCACTGCGACCCCCCCGTCAGCCTCCACCCCACTGCGACCCCCCCGTCAGCCTCCACCCCACTGCGACCCCCCCGTCAGCCTCCACCCCACTGCGACCCCCCCGTCAGCCTCCACCCCACTGCGACCCCCCCGTCAGCCTCCACCCCACTGCGACCCCCCCGTCAGCCTCCACCCCACTGCGACCCCCCCGTCAGCCTCCACCCCACTGCGACCCCCCCGTCAGCCTCCACCCCACTGCGACCCCCCCGTCAGCCTCCACCCCACTGCGACCCCCCCGTCAGCCTCCACCCCACTGCGACCCCCCCGTCAGCCTCCACCCCACTGCGACCCCCCCGTCAGCCTCCACCCCACTGCGACCCCCCCGTCAGCCTCCACCCCACTGCGACCCCCCCGTCAGCCTCCACCCCACTGCGACCCCCCCGTCAGCCTCCACCCCACTGCGACCCCCCCGTCAGCCTCCACCCCACTGCGACCCCCCCGTCAGCCTCCACCCCACTGCGACCCCCCCGTCAGCCTCCACCCCACTGCGACCCCCCCGTCAGCCTCCACCCCACTGCGACCCCCCCGTCAGCCTCCACCCCACTGCGACCCCCCCGTCAGCCTCCACCCCACTGCGACCCCCCCGTCAGCCTCCACCCCACTGCGACCCCCCCGTCAGCCTCCACCCCACTGCGACCCCCCCGTCAGCCTCCACCCCACTGCGACCCCCCCGTCAGCCTCCACCCCACTGCGACCCCCCCGTCAGCCTCCACCCCACTGCGACCCCCCCGTCAGCCTCCACCCACTGCAACACTCTATACCCCACCGTGATGCTCCGCCACCTGTAATTCTCCACCCCACTGCAGCCTCCACCCAACTGTGACCATTCACCCCACTCAGACTTTCCAGCCTCACATGCAACTCTTCACACCCCACTGCAGCACTCAGCCCCCCAGCTACACGCACACATACAGACAGCAGACAGGGCCGCATTGTGTCGTAGTGGGGATGGGGGGGATTTTAGTCTCCTTGTTATGTTGCATGTGTTTTTTATGGTCTTGTACTAACCCCATGCATGTGCCTCAGTTTCCCTGGGCGCTGCACCAATTCCTAGATGGTGATGGGAATTGTGGGTGTGACTCTAACTGAGGGAGGCTGCGGGCCCCCTCCCTTTGTACTCTGAGCACAGGAGGGGGTGCAACTAGGTGACATCGTTTGCCTGGGAAGCAGGACAAAGGCCAGAGGGAAGAGCCTGGCTGGGGCGGCTGGGACCAGAAGCCGTGCATGGGGAGGCAGAGGGAGGGCCAAGACCCTGGGTCTGGGTCCCCCTCTCCCCAGGATGGACTGTCCTGGCTGCTCCTGATTTCTGTGCTGACAAATCAGTTCTACGCCGTGTCCCTGTCAACTAATAAACCCCGTTCTACCTGCCGGCTGAGAGTCACATCTCACTGTGGATGGGGGTGCAGGGCCCGGGGACTCGCCCACACGTCAGTGATACACGTGCACAAGGGCGCACACACACGCACACACAGGCATGCACCCCCACAATACGCAGTTACCTGAGCAGTGAAATTCCAGGAAAGCAACTGAAAAACAAGAGCGCAGCGGGTGAGCCAAACCCAGCAAACAGCCAATCCCCTGCCCAGCGGGTCAGAGAGTCCGGACTGGCGAATGCGGAGGCCTGGCCAATCTGAGCCTGACCCCAGAACAACCGGCATGAGCAGCACTTAGATTAACGCTGCAAATGTCTGTGAACAGAGCAAGCCCTGGAGTGAGGCACCTTGGGCTCCCAGTGTGTGTCTGGCTGCAACTGATGCCCCTGCCCAGCGCTCAGCACCCCCTGCCCGGTCCTCAGCATCCTGTGTCCAGCGCCCCCTGCCCTGCGCTCAGCACCCCCTGCCCGGTCCTCAGCATCCTGTGTCCAGCGCCCCCTGCCCTGCGCTCAGCACCCCCTGCCCGGTCCTCAGCATCCTGTGTCCAGCGCCCCCTGCCCTGCGCTCAGCACCCCCTGCCCGGTCCTCAGCATCCTGTGTCCAGCGCCCCCTGCCCTGCGCTCAGCACCCCCTGCCCGGTCCTCAGCATCCTGTGTCCAGCGCCCCCTGCCCTGCGCTCAGCACCCCCTGCCCGGTCCTCAGCATCCTGTGTCCAGCGCCCCCTGCCCTGCGCTCAGCACCCCCTGCCCGGTCCTCAGCATCCTGTGTCCAGCGCCCCCTGCCCTGCGCTCAGCACCCCCTGCCCGGTCCTCAGCATCCTGTGTCCAGCGCCCCCTGCCCTGCGCTCAGCACCCCCTGCCCGGTCCTCAGCATCCTGTGTCCAGCGCCCCCTGCCCTGCGCTCAGCACCCCCTGCCCGGTCCTCAGCATCCTGTGTCCAGCGCCCCCTGCCCTGCGCTCAGCACCCCCTGCCCGGTCCTCAGCATCCTGTGTCCAGCGCCCCCTGCCCTGCGCTCAGCACCCCCTGCCCGGTCCTCAGCATCCTGTGTCCAGCGCCCCCTGCCCTGCGCTCAGCACCCCCTGCCCGGTCCTCAGCATCCTGTGTCCAGCGCCCCCTGCCCTGCGCTCAGCACCCCCTGCCCGGTCCTCAGCATCCTGTGTCCAGCGCCCCCTGCCCTGCGCTCAGCACCCCCTGCCCGGTCCTCAGCATCCTGTGTCCAGCGCCCCCTGCCCTGCGCTCAGCACCCCCTGCCCGGTCCTCAGCATCCTGTGTCCAGCGCCCCCTGCCCTGCGCTCAGCACCCCCTGCCCGGTCCTCAGCATCCTGTGTCCAGCGCCCCCTGCCCTGCGCTCAGCACCCCCTGCCCGGTCCTCAGCATCCTGTGTCCAGCGCCCCCTGCCCTGCGCTCAGCACCCCCTGCCCGGTCCTCAGCATCCTGTGTCCAGCGCCCCCTGCCCTGCGCTCAGCACCCCCTGCCCGGTCCTCAGCATCCTGTGTCCAGCGCCCCCTGCCCTGCGCTCAGCACCCCCTGCCCGGTCCTCAGCATCCTGTGTCCAGCGCCCCCTGCCCTGCGCTCAGCACCCCCTGCCCGGTCCTCAGCATCCTGTGTCCAGCGCCCCCTGCCCTGCGCTCAGCACCCCCTGCCCGGTCCTCAGCATCCTGTGTCCAGCGCCCCCTGCCCTGCGCTCAGCACCCCCTGCCCGGTCCTCAGCATCCTGTGTCCAGCGCCCCCTGCCCTGCGCTCAGCACCCCCTGCCCGGTCCTCAGCATCCTGTGTCCAGCGCCCCCTGCCCTGCGCTCAGCACCCCCTGCCCGGTCCTCAGCATCCTGTGTCCAGCGCCCCCTGCCCTGCGCTCAGCACCCCCTGCCCGGTCCTCAGCATCCTGTGTCCAGCGCCCCCTGCCCTGCGCTCAGCACCCCCTGCCCGGTCCTCAGCATCCTGTGTCCAGCGCCCCCTGCCCTGCGCTCAGCACCCCCTGCCCGGTCCTCAGCATCCTGTGTCCAGCGCCCCCTGCCCTGCGCTCAGCACCCCCTGCCCGGTCCTCAGCATCCTGTGTCCAGCGCCCCCTGCCCTGCGCTCAGCACCCCCTGCCCGGTCCTCAGCATCCTGTGTCCAGCGCCCCCTGCCCTGCGCTCAGCACCCCCTGCCCGGTCCTCAGCACCCTGTGTCCAGCACCCCCTGCCCAGCGCCTCGCATTCAGTGCTTGGTGCACCCTGCCCAGTGGCCTCTGCCTGGCCCGCAGTGCCCCTGCAGCCCTGAGCATCTGGGAGCTCTGGCAGTGCCTGAGCTGGGACCCTGGAGTTGAGCCTCACCCCCCGAGCAGCTGGTACTCACCGAGGAGGAGCAGGGGCAGCCGCATGGTGGCTGGTGTGGAGCAAGCCCGGGGCCAAGACGGCACAGTGGCCTCGCGAAGGGGTGTTTCATGGAGCAGGACTGGCCAGGCCAGGGGATGACTCAGCCCAGACACCATTTAGAAGCAGGGAGCCTGAACCGCCCACAGCTGAGGGTGGTGACCTTGGAAGCCAGGGGCCGCAGGGGAGCCCAAGCACAGGCGGAGGCAAGCGGAGCACCAGGGATGCTGGATGGCAGAGCCCTGCCAGCCACATGTCCCAGCCCAGTGAGTGGCATCCTCCAGCCCTGCCCCGGCAGCCAATGGGTTAACGAGCAGCTACAGAAGCAGCTGCAACAGCTGGGCTCATGCCTGTGTGTGCAGTGCAAACCGACACACACGTGCACCCCCAGCCCTCCCCTGCACAAATATACATACCAAGTGATGCACACGGATGGACACACATCCAGATGTTCACATGGGCACACAGACGTGGACACACACCCCCCGCCACGTCACACACAGGCCCAGATACACGTACCTATCATCCACACTCACACACACTTGTGCACACACATGTGCACAGAGACTGACACGCCCCGTGGTTCCAGTGCACCCTGGGTGCTGTGCTGTTATCCAGGCCCAGGGCTGTGAGTGGGGGGTCCTCCAGATGTTCACATGGGCACACAGACGTGGACACACACCCCCCGCCACGTCACACACAGGCCCAGATACACGTACCTATCATCCACACTCACACACACTTGTGCACACACATGTGCACAGAGACTGACACGCCCCGTGGTTCCAGTGCACCCTGGGTGCTGTGCTGTTATCCAGGCCCAGGGCTGTGAGTGGGGGGTCCTGTGGCAGCCCAGCCTAGAGCCAGCAGCGTCACGAGGAGGGACGGCCCAGCCCGGGTCTCTGGGATGCCTGTAGACACAGGGCAGGCCTGGGGCCCCAGCCCACCTGGCCCCTCATGCCAAGCACTGCCCCTGCCCGGCTGGCTGCACCACAGGGCAGATGGAGCACTGTGGCCTGGCTGCTCCCCAGACTCGAATCGCCACTGCGGCTGGCGGGGGGGCCAGGGAAATGGCAATCCCACGCTGCAGCCTGCCTGGCCTGCCACGGATGGAGACTGCCAAGGAATGGGAAGGAAGCTGCAAGGGGCGGGCAGGGGCTCTCTTCCCGGGCAGTCATGGCCTCCTTGCTCCAGGGCAGTGTTAGGGGGCTGTGCTGCAGGGCCCAGAAGGGGGCGCTCTCCCCGGCACCCTGCAGTCAGTGCCCCCCCTTCCCCGGTGCACATAGGATGAAAGGAATCACAGGGTTGGAAGAGATCTCGGGAGTCATCCAGTCCAAACCCCACCCACCCAAAGCAGGACCAACCCCAACTAAATCATCCCAGCCAGGGCTTTGCTGGGACTTCAAAATCTCTAGGGGCGTTGATTCCATCAGCTCCCTAGGGAACCCATCCCAGGGCTTCCCCACCCTCCTAGGGAAATACTTCTTCCTAATATCCAACCTAGACCTCCCCCACTGCAACTGGAGACTATCGCCCCTCGTTCTGCCACCTGCCACCACTGAGAACAGCCTCTCTCCATCGCCTTTGACACGCCCCTTCAGGTAGTTGAAGGCTGCTCTCAAATCCCCCCTCACTCTTCTCTAGACTAAACAAGCCCAAATCTCTCAGCTTCTCAAAAATTAGGCGCTCCAGCCCCCTAATCATTTTCATTGCCTTCCGCTGGACCCTCTCCAATGCATCCACCTCTTTTCTGTAGTGGGGGGGGGGGGGGCCAGAACTAGACACAATACTCCAGATGTGGCCTCCCCAGAGCCAAATAAAGGGGAATAATGACACCTCTGGATCTGCTGGCAATGCTCCTCTTAATGCAACCTAATATGTCATTAGCCTTCTTGGCTACAAGGGCACACTATT